GTGGCGCGTGCGAGTGTGAGAGCAGTGTGCGTGTGAGTGGCGAGCGAGCTACGGCGAGTGAGGGGAAAAGGGGAAAGTTCTCCCTCCCGTTAGCTACAGGGGGTTGCTAGGTGATGGCTGTGGGGTTGACATGCGCCGTGTGGTTGCAAACCGGGAGCACTTGCTTTGCTTACTCCCTTCAACGTCCCCGTCCCCCCCTCCTCCTCCTCTCCTCTCTCTCTCTCTCTCTCTCTCTCTCTCTCTCTCTCTCTCTCTCTCTCTCTCTCTCTCTCTCTCTCTCTCTCTCTCTCTCTCTCTTTCTCCCTCCCTTCCTCCATTCTCGAGCCTCCCTGAGCCTTTTTCTCCTCTCCTCTCGTCCTCTCTCCTCCTCTTCCTTCCCTCGCCGTCCCGCTCTCCCCTCTCCTCCTCTCTCCACCCCATGCCTTCTCTCTCTCTCCTCTTCCCTCCTCTCCCCTCCTCTTTCCCTCCCCCCTCCCGACGCCTTCCTCTTTGTCCTCCTCTCTCTCCCCTCCCCCCACCCTCCCTCCCCTCCCCTCCCCTCCCCTTCCCCTCCCACCCTCCTTTCCCCTCTCCCTTCTCCTCACAGAAGGTTATGTGGGGGTGGATGTTATATGTCGACTCGGCCATGTGGGCGGTAGTGTGATGGTAGAAAGCTCGCGGAGAGGGGGTGGGTGGGGGGTGGAGGGGTGGAGGGGGGTGGGTGGGTGGGCGGTGGGTGTGGGAAAAGGTTACGGGTGGTGTAGGGCGGCGGAAGAAGAAATTTATGGCGTGGGCGGCGGCTAAAGGTCGTGGGTTGGTGGCAGGCGCAGGTGAGGGTGGGCGGAGAGGGAGAGAGTGGGCGTGGGTGCAGCTGTAGAGGGTGGGCGTAGCTATAGAAGGTGGGCGTCGGGGTAGAGGATGGGCGGAGAGGGAGAGAGTGGGCGTGGGTGCAGCTGTAGAGGGTGGGCATAGCTGTAGAAGGTGGGTATACGTGTAGAGGGTGGGCATAGCTATGGAGGGTGGGCGTAGGGATAGATGATGGGCATAAAGGTAGAAAGTGGGTGTGGGTGTGGTTGTGGGGGGTGGGCATAAGGGCATGGGAGGAGGACGGGTGTGGGTAGGTGATTAAGGTAAATGAAGAAGAAAAAAGAAAGATAAGAGAGAGAGAGAGAGAGAGAGAGAGAGAGAAGAAAGAGAGAGAGAGAGAGAAGAAAGAGAGAGAGAGAGAGAGAAGAAAGAGAGAGAGAGAGAAGAAAGATATATATATATATGAAAACAGAAAGAAAGAAACAAAACAAAACAAAACAAAAAAACAGTCATGTCAAAAAGCTAATAATGAAAAACTTGAACATTGTCAAATTTCATAAAATATTGTCTTCGTAAATCCATTTCGTTATCCATGTATTCGGACTTTCACGAAACGGGGGGAGGGGGGGAGGGGGGGAATCTATGATAGGCAATATACATACACATAATCATTTCGGAAAGCTTGAGGTAATACATTCGAAATTTATCTAATGCGGCTGAGAATTCGGCGTTATTTTTTTAAATAATTTATTAGATTTAAATTATTAGTGGTAGATAGGTGAATATTTTTGTATTGTGTGTGTGTGTGTGTGTTTTTTTGTTTTTTTTTAATTGCTGTTGTAATGTACTGTTACTTTGCCACATGCACACACACACATAGCCACACACGACCACACACACACACACATAACTACACATAACTACACACATAACCACTAACACACACACACACACACACACACACACACACACACACACACATGAACACACACACACACACAAACACAACCCCCCCACCCCAACACACACACAACCCCCCCCTCAACCCTCCCCTCACCCAACCCTCCCCTCAGCCCACCCCCCCTCACACACACAACCCCTCCCCCCCCCCCCCCCCCTCCCCACCCACACACACACATAGAGGACCGTCTCTATAAATGCTTTCAATGTATTACACAATAAGAAGAATATCCTTTGTTGTAGATTTTTGCTTTGTATACAATTTTTTTTTTCTTTTTTTTTACGAGAAATGTTGACAGTATTGTATAACTCCAGTTCCATATTGCGCGACATGATTCTGTTGTGAAAATATTGTCCCTTTTCATTACTGTGAACGTATTTGTGAATTAAACAGTTATTGTACTCTTTTTATCCTTACGTAAATGTGTGTGTGTGTGTGTTTATTTGTGTGTGTGTGTAGTGTGTGTGTGTGTGTGTCTGTGTTTGTGCGTGTGTGTGTGTTTGTTTGTGTGTGTGTGTGTGTTTATTTGTGTGTGTGTGTGTTTGTTTGTGTGTGTGTGTGTGTGTGTTTGTTTGTTTGTGTGTGTATGTGTGTGTGTGTGTGTTTGTTTGTTTGTTTGTGTGTGTGTGTGTGTGTGTGTGTGTGTGTGTGAAAGGGTGTAAGTGAAGCTATGATGATGTGGAGGTGCTGTAAAGCATGTTAGAATTTGCGCTCTGTGTGTCTGTCTGTGTCTCTCTTTCTCTCTCTCTCTCT